ATGTACGGGTTGGCAATAATCAAGTCTAAATTATATTCAAAGATAGAAATGTTTGTGAATTTTATACTACAACGGCTTGCCGTACTTCCTGATCTGTGTGCAGCGGTTCTGATCCGTAGCGCTGCAGGATGCAGAATAAACAGGATGGTGGGGACTCTTCATCCGCTTGTAGAGTTTATTCTTTCTTAGTTTTACCATCATCATATTTTTCTGAGCGCCACTTGATCGTCAGACTGCTACCCGTTAGCTTTAGCATTAGCCAGTCTGTGTGTAGCTGCACTTTTGATCCCAAACTTTGGACCGGTGTTCTGAGAATTTCTCCTACCCGGTAAACTGTCCTACCCGTTGTTACTGAGCATGTGCGCGCATGCGCACAACACAAAAGGGGAATACTACTCCGCTGTCATATTTGCAGAAAAATACTTTCCTTTGGTTAGGGTTAGGGTTTAGGTGAGGGATAGGGTTTGTGTCATGTAAAACAACATCAAATTCTACTACGGGTAGGACGTTTTGCCAAAGTAGGACGTTTTCTCAGAACACCGGTTCTGCCTTTGCTGGTTCCTTTAGTTTCCTCCTCTGCATCCAGATGACCACACTGTGCGCCAGTAAAAAGCATTTTTCTTACAAGTAACTTACTTTTGTTCAATAAAGTTCTGGGGAAAATAGTAATTCAAAGATGTGCTATGTTTAAAAATAGACAGACATGCACAGACACCACTGTACAGCCCTGCTCTGATATGGAAGAGCCTGGGGGAAAATCAGGACAGCAATAGCACCAACAATAGATATGTACCAACTAGAGAGAAAAGTAGTTTTTGATCTTTGCAGGGGTTTTAACGCTTTTCGGTGCACCACTGCTGATACAGTGCCCGTGTAGTGGCGCAACGCTGCAACTGCAGTTAAAATAGCGTCCATATAGCTGGGGGCAGAGTGAAATCAGGCTGGGACGGCACAAAAATAGCTGCAGGCAGCCGCCACGCAAATTTGAATGCAGGAAAAACCCTGTTATCCAATCTCAATCGAGATGTCCAAGTATCTGGAAGTAAGATTCCAGATCCTGCCGTATGAAGCTCAGCTGTTAGAAGGGTCCGCTCTCGTTTGTGGAAATGGTGCACTGGTGTATCTGGCCCACGCAGACATACATTAGGCTTAAGGGTTTACAGAGTAAATGTTGATCATGAGAGACGTGGTTGGTTTAGATCAGCAATTGTGTATGAAGCCACAACGCGATGCGTTCAGTCTGTTTTAAACATCTTTTTGCTTTTTAACGGGGCAACAGCGGTGCTGGTGATGAATTTACAGGAAGCGGCGTCCTGACCAATCACAGGCTTGCGTTCTCCGTCACTATTGACGGGTGCCATTTTGGGCATGGCTCCATCACCCTCTGAGCCCATCGTAGCCTAATGGAGTTGCATGTGTCCGCAGCAACAAAGATGGAGAAGTATAAATGGGGCTTAAAGCCATGCAAATACCTCTGCACATCTGGAATAATGCAGGCAGAAAACAGCTGTTGGGTCACTTCTCGTAATCTAGATATGCCATCGCATCGCTGCACTTGACGTTTATTTAGAGAATTATTGGTGTACGGTTGTGTGTGTGTGTGTGTGTGTGTGTGTGTGTGTGCGCGCGCTCTGTCTTCTCCATCCCCAGTGAGTCGTGGAGGATGGCTGCTTATACTGAGCCAGGATCCTCTGGAGGTTTCTTCCTGTTAAAAGGGAGTTTTCCTCTCCACTGTCGCTGCATGCTTGCTTAGTACGAGGATTGCTGTAAAGACTCTGACACTAGTCAGTGACTCGATGCCATTTGCTGGGTTCCTTATGTAGGAAACGTTTTTTCTGATTCGGCTTAATGCATTGACCTGTGTTGGAATGTTAACTATGTGAAGCTCCTTGAGACGGCACTTGTCGTGATTTGGCGCTTTATAAATAAAGTTGAATTGAATTGAAACTCACACTCCTGTCTAGCTTCATGTTAACTGCAGAAATTGACGTGACCCAGAAGTGGCTCACAGTGAAAATAGAACCAGATACCATGTTTAGCATCGCAGCGTGTTGTTTCTGGGTCGCGTCTGGTTTGAATCACCCCCATAGACTCTGATGGATTCTGTTAGAAGCCTCTGGTGCCTTCAGTGTGCAGTAGTGTTAAATCTGCTGCTGGGGACAAACAGCTAATCGGCAACGACACAATAGCGAGAGACCTCAGTCACTGCAAACTCTGGTGACCTCTGGTGAGGAAGAGGAGCTCTCTAGTGGAAACACGCTTGTACAGAACCTCTCTGGTCTGAGCTCTCAGGAGCACTCTTCCTCACTTCCCCTTCCTGTCTCCAAGAGGAAGTTGGCCTTGACGGTCCTCAGATGGCCTCATGTTCCTGGTGTTTTTTCCCAGAAGAGGCCGGGTCTCCGTGCGTGTGGATGGGGGGGCTGCTGCCTTTCATCATTTGTTGTTCTTGCTCATCTATTTTGGGCAGAAGCTTTGGCTTTGCTAAGTTAATTCATTAAATTTGCCCACCCTAAGCGTGGTTTTCCAGGAACTTCACTGCTAGTATCTGGCAAGGCTGAGTCAGGCCGGCATCGCTGATTGGCTAGGGGGCGGAGTTTTTTGTTTTCTGTTTCACTCCCTGCAGCCATTTCCTGGTTCAGAGTGTGACAAAAAGCCATAAAACCGAGCCAAATGTCTTCCCCGGCACCTATGAGGGGCCACGGAGCCACAGATGGGCTGACTGGAACTACGCTGTACAGAGCTGTTTCAGGCTGAGTGGTGCTGCTGGTAACCTAGCGGAGTAGCAGAGCAAAGGTCCTGTCACACGCATCACCATCCACCCTGCTGGAGTTCAGCAGCTGTTCTCATTCTCAGATCATGGCTGCAGTAGGGCTGACCATCCATCGTTTCTGCACCACGATCACGTGGTCGCCAAAGGTGCAGGTTTTTTGTAGCACTTCTGACTGATCCGGGTTTTCTCCAGTGTCACACAGCTTCTCTTCCTTTACAGGGAGTGCAGAATTATTAGGCAAATGAGTATTTTGTCCGCATCATCCTCTTCATGCATGTTGTCTTACTCTAAGCTGTATAGGCTCGAAAGCCTACTACCAATTAAACATATTAGGTGATGTGCATCTCTGTAATGGGTGTGGTCTAATGACATCAACACCCTATATCAGGTGTGCATAATTATTAGGCAACTTCCTTTCCTTTGGCAAAATGGGTCAAAAGAAGGACTTGACAGGCTCAGAAAAGTCAAAAATAGTGAGATATCTTGCAGAGCGATGCAGCAGTCTTAAAATTGCAAAGCTTCTGAAGCGTGATCATCGAACAATCAAGCGTTTCATTCAAAATAGTCAACAGGGTCGCAAGAAGCGTGTGGTCAAACCAATGTGCAAAATAACTGCCCATGAACTGAGAAAAGTCAAGCGTGCAGCTGCCAAGATGCCACTTGCCACCAGTTTGGCCAGATTTCAGAGCTGCAACATCACTGGAGTGCCCAAAAGCACAAGGTGTGCAATACTCAGAGACATGGCCAAGGTAAGAAAGGCTGAAAGACGACCACCACTGAACAAGACACACAAGCTTAAACGTCAAGACTGGGCCAAGAAATATCTCGACTGATTTTTCTAAGGTTTTATGGACTGATGAAATGAGAGTGAGTCTTGATGGGCCAGATGGTTGGGCCCGTGGCTGGATTGGTAAAGGGCAGAGAGCTCCAGTCCGACTCAGATGCCAGCAAGGTGGAGGTGGAGTACTGGTTTGGGCTGGTATCATCAAAGATGAGCTTGTGGGGCCTTTTCGGGTTGAGGATGGAGTCAAGCTCAACTCCCAGTCCTACTGCCAGTTTCTGGAAGACACCTTCTTCAAGCAGTGGTACAGGAAGAAGTCTGCATTCTTCAAGAAAAACATGATTTTCATGCAGGACAATGCTCCATCACACGCGTCCAAGTACTCCACAGCGTGGCTGGCAAGAAAGGGTATAAAAGAAGAAAAACTAATGACATGGCCTCCTTGTTCACCTGATCTGAATCCCATTGAGAGCCTGTGGTCCATCATCAAATGTGAGATTTACGAGGAGGGAAAACGGTACACCTCTCTGAACAGTGTCTGGGAGGCTGTGGTTGCTGCTGCACGCAATGTTGATGGTGAACAGATCAAAACACTGACAGAATCCATGGATGGCAGGCTTTTGAGTGTCCTTGCAAAGAAAGGTGGCTATATTGGTCGCTGATTTGTTTTTGTATTGTTTTTGAATGTCAGAAATGTATATTTGTGAATGTAGAGATGTTATACTGGTTTCACTGGTAAAAATAAATAATTGAAATGGGTATATATTTGTTTTTTGTTAAGTTGCCTAATAATTATGCACAGTAATAGTCACCTGCACACACAGATATCCCCCTAAAATAGCTAAAACTAAAAACAAACTAAAAACTACTTCCAAAAACATTCAGCTTTGATATGAATGAGTTGTTTGGGTTCACTGAGAACATGGTTGTTGTTCAATAATAAAATTATTCCTCAAAAATACAACTTGCCTAATAATTCTGCACTCCCTGTAAAACGGGTTGGGTTTTCCTGAAGCACACGGTAACTCAAACGAGCCTGTTTATCGTGTTGGTTAGAGCGGTGTCTGAGCGTGAAAAGGCAGTGAAATGATGCAGTAAACCTCATTTTTGTTATGGATCTGAACCCTCCTAGAGGACAAGAACATGCTTCATTAAGCCCCTCTAGATAAAAAGCACAAGTTGCACGTTAAAAAGCGGTTAGAATGAGAGGAAAGCGAATAGCTTTTAATGTTTTATGGTTAGGGTTATGTAGTGTACTATGTTGTGAATAATGTGTTGAAACTTGATGTGAAGAAAATCCCAGTTTTGGGATGCAGCCCCATCGTCTCCTCCAGAGGCAGCATCTCCTCTGCTGTGAGGCTGATGCATGTGTGTTTTCCCCTTTCAACCTCCTGTACTCCTACCCCCCTGGCACTTCCCTCTCCTGAAAATCCCCTGTCTTGTCTCCAGGTGGCTATAAAGATAGTGGATAAGACCCAGCTGGACGACGAGAACCTGAAAAAGATCTTCAGAGAGGTTCAGATCATGAAGCTGCTGAAGCACCCCCACATCATCCGCCTCTACCAGGTACATACTTACCCACAGAGCTCTCGTCTCCCCAGAAGAGCAATGGAACTGCTGCTTCTGGGTGTTGAAGGTGATTCCATAAAAGCCATCTGTAAGGGGTGGGGTGGCAGACCTCCACGGGCTGACGGAGTTCTCCTAACACCTTCATATGGAAGTCTGCCCTGGTGTCCATGACAGTGTGCTTGTAGTTCCACAGCTCGTGTTTGGCTGCCCCTCAGTTCTGTGCTGTTTGTGTCTTTAGGTGATGGAAACCGAGAAGATGATCTATCTGGTAACAGAGTATGCTAGTGGTGGGGAAATATTCGGTAAGAATCCTTGTTCACCTTTTCAAGTTACTTTAGGTTCCTTTCATGTTCTAAAACACAACAAAATAAATGACTATGATCTACATACGTTTGGGCTTTTCTCTCCCTAAATTATATTCATGTGAAAGTAGGGCTGTGCCATCTGACGATAATAGATCGTTAAAGGTGCATTATGTAGAAAAGAAGTACAAATGGCATCCTGTGGTAAAATGTGGGTACTGCATCCACTTTATTCAACTCCGGAGCCTTCTGCTGTTCGTCGTCTAATTACAATAGTGGGCACTGCAGCATTAGCCCCCCCCCCCACACACACACACACACACACACCAATCCCCCACAACGTGGGTCTAAAATTGAGGCAAATGCAGAAGTGAAATAAATTGCAGTTCCACCCTCATCCACTAGGGGCTGGTGTCAGAAGCGAGCAAATCCTCATTTCACAGCAGAAATAAACATGTGTAATGGAATGAAGAGGAGAGAATTACAATTTAACTAATGACCAGAGATATTAATGATCCATATCTAGTATGGAACCCAGTCTCTGGACAATGGGCTTTTCTTAAATCAGAAGAGTGTTCTTATTATTACAGGGAAACTTAATAAACACTTTGCATGAACTGAGAGACGAGAAGAGCGAGAGAGAGACCTCAGAACGTTTAAGCAAAATTTATTATCTAAATTATTTTAAACAGTTTAACAGGACTAACTCCAGTGATGGATGTGAATGGAATGGATTGTGAGGTGGTGTGTGTGTTGGTGCGATGTCAGTTCAGAACCTCCATTCTGGAGAAGCGAGTCTGAGTGGGAGATGATGTTTTGCTCCTAACTGATCAACGTTTGAACCTTGGTCAGAAAACACATGAGACGCTATCTGTGCCATTCTACATTACCCGTCAGGGAGACCTCCGTCTTAGATCAGGCTGCCAGGTCCACGGACCCAATGGTACTGGAGCCGATAAAACAGCGTCCTCAGAACGACAAACCAGTCTTTGGATAGTCTCCAGGTAAAAACGGCAGGTGTTTCACAGCGTCAAAGGGACCCCCCTTTGGGCCAGCGAGTTCAGCTTTTTATTCTTAAGGAACCATTGTTTTGTTGATAACGACAGGATTTACCAGCTTGGCAGTTCTCAGCTTAAAAGTAAAAAGTTCAGATGGCCGGTCCGTACTCCACTTAGCAATGATGAATTTCAGAGGATCTTGAGAGCTGGCTGAAGACTGAACTCAAAATGGCGTTGTTCTGACTTATTAATCTTGATGTTTACGACTGTGGACGAATCACAACTGACAAATTAAATAAACACCACAGAGACTCTGCCACTCTTCAGACATGAAGGTTCTGATTGGATTTGCGACCGGAAGGTGGCTAATATCCGTCATTTCCGTATTAAACATTAATCATAACATTGTGATCTCACAAATCGGTCACATGGTTATTATTGACTAACAGTTGTTTTGATTAGCTTTATTAAAATAGAGTCCTTTGATTAATTAAAAGAAAAGAGTTCATTCTTCGTTCTTCTGTCTTCACTGCTGGAATGTAAACATTAGAAGTGAATGCATGACCTTGAGCCTGTTTCATGCACACTGACACTGTGTCAAACAGAACAGCTGTTAGAGGGGAGAAATGGTTCCTTCATCACATTACATACCCCCCTTTTCAAGCTCGGTCTGTCCAGAGACCACCTGGTCATTGAACAAACCAGAGTTATGAAGGATCCCGACAACAGGGCAGGGTGCAATCTTTAAAGGAAGAGGCCAACAGTGGTGAGGTACGAACCCCACGCCGAAGAACAGTCTCACATACTCCTCGGGAAGCACACAAGTCAGTAGATTATCAGATATCCCCATGGAAGCAATAATTGAAGCAGCAGCAACTTAATATCTCCACGGGTAATAATTTGAAGCAGGAGCAAAGCTTTTACTTATCCACAGGTAGGGAATAATTCCAAACAGCAAATTGATCTTTGTAAGAGCACTTATCGTAATCCAGCAAAAGGGCAGAGCAGCAGGCAGGTCGTCCCAGCGAGCGAAGTATCCCAGGAGCCATGCCGGAACCAACGGGCATCCAGGTCCAACGAGCCGGAGCACCAACCAGGAGGAGTAGATTCCGATGACGAGTCACGGGTTCACCCTCAGGAAGCAGGATCATCACGAGCTCAGCACAGGGCACTTCATTGTAGACACAACAAGATAGCGTCTCTTGCAAATTAACAAACAAATGTAAACCTATCACTGTGAGTACCTGCAAGTACTACGTGTAGGTTTTATGCGAATTAACCTCTAAGCGAAGAAATGGATGCAACCCTCTCTACGTGAGATGCAAAAAGGTGGTGCGAAAAAGCATAAAATTAAAAGAACCCTATACTGCGTATGGGAGAACTCACTGCACTACACAAAAAATATAATCAACTGAAGGGCTAAAATGTTTGTAGCCCCTGATGGTAATCAACCAAGCTAATCATAAAGATTTCAACTCAATCACTGCAACAAAGCTCTATACAAAGATAGACGTGTGACTGTCTAGGAGCTCAAAATGTAAATCAGTGGTTAGTAATCACCCTCATGTGAGTGATCCCATAAGGAATTAAGATTAGTGAAAATAAAAAGAAAAATTTGGATAACAGTACTATGTGACCTAACCCAATCTACTGTCACCTGACTGATTACCTGACTTTAAGAAACCCACAGCATGTTCATCTCAACTCACCCCAAGTCTGCACGTCATGTATAAACAGGAAAGACAACCATGCACACACAAACATAGACAAACTTGTGTAGCTCGAGATAGAAACTATGGAACCGACGAGTCTGGCAACCAAAATCACTCCACCATCTATGCCCTGGCAGACGGAGGAGGAGGAGGACCGACCGGCTCAGGCGCAGGCACCTGGGCAGCCGGTTCTCCACGAACCGGTGCTAAGGCTCGAGTTAGGCGTCCTTTGACATCTCCGACCGAGGTCCCCAGAAGGGTCAACTGCGGAGAAATAACGGAACAGGATAAAGAACACACCCCAGAGCAAGCCGAGGTTTAGGCATATAATGAATATCACGACAGAATCAACGGAGGACCAGGAGTAAGACACTGGTCGAAACTTGAGACCGGGATCTTCTGACAACTCACGCAGTACTCTGTTCACCACACCCACTCGGACCATGGTTGGACCGTCGAATGTAACACGATCCATCGTCGCTGGAGAAAGAGCAAAGGAGATGTTATCATAAAAAGAAGAAAACTCTACTTCAGACCAATGCTCACCAGGATCCAAGTAATATAGAGAGACCTCACCCACATGGACCGTAGCACCACGTGGAACTGTTACCCGTAAGGTTTTAGAGGGAAGCTCAACTCGTGTAGACACACCAAACAGCTCAAAGCAAACTTCAGCTTCTCTAGCAGGGGTATTAAGTAACCAACGGTTACCAACAACAACAGCTTTACTACTCACAACGTGTGAATGTGGTTTCACAGTCATAGGACATTTAGATTTACCTGACAACTCATCAATGCCACACACACCACCAGCTCCGCCATGCAGAAAAGGTGTGCCTGGACACAAGAAGTGTAGACCACGGGTGAGAGAACACACACGCAAGTCCGGGACTAACCTGACGTGTGGCGCATTCTCATGGTACGTGACGACCGGAGGCGTATGTAACCTGACATGAGTGTCATCAACCCAGTTACCTACATTCACCACATCTCTTAATCTATATCAAATCAAATCACTTTTATTGTCACGTCACATGTGCAGGTACACTGGTACAGTACATGCGAGTGAAATTCTATTGTGCGAGCTTCACAGCAACAGAGTTGTGCAAAAATACAGTAACGTAAAAACAAGCAAAATATAAAAATGGCTAATCTAAGTAATAATATGTATAGTATGTAAGGTATATACATTACTAAATGTGTGTGCTAGTATTTTATTTATTTATTTATTTTCTGCGTGTGTGCGTGTGAGTGTGTGTATAGTGTGTATATACATGTTCAAATGAATAAAGTAAACAATAAGATAAGAGATATAAAATATACAGTGTTTGGTATGTGCAAAACAGTGGCATTAATGTACAGTATGGAGTGTGTAATGTTGGAGTTTCAGTAGTGATGGTGAGGTGTCTGTGAAGTGTTCAGCAGTCTGATGGCCTGATGGAAAAAGCTGTCTCAGTCTGCTGGTTCTGGACTGGATCCTGCAGTACCTCCTTCCTGATGGAAGTAGTCTGAACAGTTTATGGCTGGGGTGACTTGAGTCCTTTATGATCCTCCCCGCTTTCCTCAGGCACCGCTTCCTGTAGATGTCTTGGAGGGAGGGAAGCTCACCTCCAATAATCCTTTCAGCACACCGCACTACTCTCTGGAGAGCTTTGCGGTTGTAAGCGGTGTTGTTGCCATACCAGGTGGAGATGCATCCAGTGAGGATGCTCTCAATGGCACAGTGATAGAAGGTCCTGAGGATGCGGTGGCTCATTCCAAATCTTTTCAGTCTCCTGAGAAAGAAGAGGCGCTGCTGTGCCTTCTTCACTGTATTGTTCGTGTGCACTGACCACGTAAGATCCTCAGCCAGATGAACTCCAAGGAAACGGAAACTGCTCACCCTCTCCACAGCGTCGCCGTTGATGGTGATGGGGGTGTGTATTCCTCTGCACCTCCGGAAGTCCATTATCATCTCCTTTGTCTTTGTGACGTTGAGGGTGAGACGGTTGTCCTGGCACCAGTGGGTCAGGGCGCTGATCTCCTCCCTGTAGGCCGTCTCATCGTAGTTGGTGATGAGACCGCAAACTTCACAATGATGTTGGAGTTTCTCGTGGCCGTGCAGTTATGGGTGTAGAGTGAGTACAGGAGAGGGCTCAGCGCACACCCCTGCGGAGCACCAGTGTTCAGTGTGATGGGGGATGAGGTGGTGCTGCCCAGTCTGACCACCTGGCGTCTGTCAGACAGAAAGTTAAGGATCCAGCTGCAGAGGGAGCTGCTCAGTCCTAGATCCTGCAGTTTCCTGTCCAGC